AACAGATCAAATGTTGCTCAGGTCTTTTTTTTTTAGCATTGTATAGTGTGCACAAAAAAAACACCTCGAATAATTTTTGTTTGATCTAATGATTGGATCTTCATGTTCCTATCTACTTCTACTATCTGCCAAACTAAGGCAGATCTGCCATTCCTCCGTTTGACAATTTTAGAAAAAGTGGTCTTAATAATAATACAAAAACAAATAAAGTTCGAGGTAGAATAAAACTTTTTCTTTTTATGTTCCTTTTTTTAAAAGTATTATCAGGATAGTAAGATGAATTTTTGGAGGAGAGCAGAGATTACAATGACGATTTTTATGTCTATTTTGTTAATCATAATTTTTATCCTGATAAGTGGAAAAACTATTTCCGATGGAATATTGCATGCATTTGGACTAAACAATAATTTAGCACCTCTTTACAGTACTTCAGAAGACACCTAGGTATTACTAGTCTATTTACAAATTTTAACTCATTAATGAGCTATTATAATTGAATTTATATTTAAAAAATTTATAATTAAAAAATTTATACACACATTTATTTATAATGCTACCAAGTCTAAATTTTAAAATGAGTTCAGTTTGTCTGGCGTAGCGAGGCTTGCACTGACAAGGAATATGATAAATGCCCCAGCAATTATCAAAGCTAATAGGATCTTTAAGAGACTTAAATTTGATTTTGTCAATAGGCCCTTAAAATGATTCTGAACACGAAGATATTTAGCAATAGAATTGTTCCTCTCATCCACCGTGGTTTTTCTTCTTCTGATCTTCCACTTTTTTCTTCTTCTCTCGCATACCGTAGTTTTTCTAGTGTTGCTTATCCACCTTATTTTTCGATGGCAACCTTACACTTTTTTTAAAAATATTTCTTAACACTTTTGTTTCCTCCCATGATGAACATCAGGCAAGTCTTGAAAATGGGCACCTATTTTTAAAGTGCTTGAAACATGTCGACTATTTTTTGCTTTCTATATATATTTATAAAGCAAATGAATCAGAATAGAATGAATTTTTATCAGGTAATATATTCTAATGCTTTTTAAAAAGCAAACAGCCAAGTAAAAAGTATAATTTACCTAACTATAGAGTAATATAAGTAAATTTTAATGCAAAAGAATAATAAAATATACTACAGTGTTCCCCCTAAGCATTTCTTGAAGGGCAGTTGGCCGTGCTTGCCTTTTGATCCCAATAAATGCACCCACTTTGCCATTTTGTAAAAATAAGCCCCTCTCCCTTAAAAACACTGCCTTTATATTCATGTTCTATTTTGAAAAAATTTATTCATTAAAATTAATTACGCTGGTAAAATTAACTGAGTATTGCAATTATTATGATTATTCAACTGGAAGTATCTGTTAACGGAAGGATATTAATAAATTTTAAAGTGATTTTAAAACCATTTTTTAATTAATACCTAATTTTTTTTAAAAAAAATTCACCTTTAAATGCTTATTTTCTCATAATTATCAGTTCAACTTATAGAAAAAAGTTTTCAAGTTATTTATCAATTAATCTTTTTTTGTTAGTTTACTTTTTAAAAAAGAAAAAAAAAATATGCACAGAGATCCCCTTAAGCTTGCCCTTAATTATTTCTTTAAACTACCAATTTTCCACTTATTTTGATAATGAGAGAGAATTACTTTTTGAAATATATACAATCTCAGTAGGTCTCTCTTCTGAAACCTTTATATTTTATTGATAAAAATGAAAAATCACATGTACTAAACTTCTTTAAGGTTACAAAATAATCCTTTAAGTATTTCTTGAGAAATTTTAAAAAAAAATCAAAAACTTAAAGTTTCTATTCCATTATTGTAGGGTAGCTTACATATTATAATTTTCAATCTTGAGAAATTCTGGGGGTAGAGGAGGTCTAGACCCCTTAAACCCTCCTGAAACCAAGAATAATGTGGGTAAGATTAAATGTCTAATCATAGATAAATAGCTCAAAATTGTAAATATTGAATTTTGCTATTTTTTTTAGCATTTTTCATTAAAAATATAGGGTCTTAATTTCAAATTTTTGGATTCTTCAAATCTACTTTTTAAAAATCTGCATTTAGTATTCTGGTTTTCTGAACACACACCAAAATTATGAATATCAGAACTATAGTTTAAATAAAATAAAAAAAAAATTTTTAAATAAAATATTTATTGCAGGATAAAATAATTTTTATCAAGAAAATCAGGAACAAACCCTGCATAACATGTCGTATTTTTTATATCGACATTCCACTCTACAAACTAAAAAGTTGTTCTAGTTAGTTTTATATCACTATCCCAAATTAGGGAGATTAAATTCGTATGAATAAAGAAGTTTAGACATTAAGAACAATAGCAACTTTCTCTAGTTTCATCATTCTTTTAAATTCAGTCGAATTTCAAAATGGCTAACTAATCGGATAAAATAGAATATATTTACCATACGCAGGGACCTCTTCTTCATCTTCTCTCATGGATGATCACAGGGACTATGTTTATTCCCTCCATTATATCCCATTTGCATTGCGCAAGAATTTTCAATTCGCAACGCTTTGCCAGACTATTTCTATCCGTTCAACGTTTTTAAAATCAGTTTCTTTAACGAAACTAACTAGGCAGCCGTGGTTCTATAATGTTAACCTTACAAATCAGTGGCGCTGCGGCATCTGTACCAAGCTTGGCCAAAGAATACCTAAGGAGGCCTTTCCATTTCAATTCTAACCTTCAGTAAGGATAGGTTCGAAAAGGGACGAAATATATTGCACCTCCAAAACCCGTTCCACTGTCTCCCCTACATTTTTTGTGGGGGTGCGTGTGTTAAGTAACCCGAAACTAATCGACTAACCACTGTCACAGAAGGGGGATTGCAACCTGCGGGGGTCAACTAGCTTTCAAAAGATATCAGAAGAAACTCACTCTTCATCTTATATTATGCTTTTTCTCTTTCTAAGAAAAACTTAAAAAATATTTTTTTTAACTCTAAAACGACTTTATTTATTTTCAAAATAGTTTTATCATTTTATTTAACATGCACTTTTTCTAATTATATCTTGAATTGTTTATTATTTTGATTTGATTATTTAGAGAACTAATAATAACCAGAGTATTTAAATTTATAAAATTTTACTATGTAGTCATATGAAAGTAATTCATATAAAGTAACTACATTAAAAATAAATTTATATTTTCTCTATAGATCAAATAAAGTTTGTTAATTTTTTTAAAATTGATTTGCTAATTTTTAAAACTTTTTATGTTAAAGTAAAACCTTGAGTTCAAGATTTTATTTTTTTATTACGTATTTAATTTTCTTCTTTCAATTACAATTCAAATACAAATATTTTTCACAATCTTTTTTTAATTTTAATTAATTTTTTTTNAGCATGCAAGACTTTGTGAAAAGAAACCTTATAATTACCTAGGTTTAAGAATATTTTCGCCTTGAGACTAGCTCTAATAAAGGATTTTTTTCACGCTTGAAAACTCTAAGTCAACCTAGATTTAAGGTTTTTATATAGAAGGTTGTTTTCCAAGGTTTTGGACTAGGGTAATGTGCGTAGAATAGAGCAGATTGCCACAGATCTCGTTTTAAGGTTAGAAGATTTACACGTCGTAAGACGCATAACCAACCTTTTTAGGTTTACATTAAAAGGTTTTTGCTGAGTGAAAATAAACCATATTTTGCTATTTGGGATTTATTTTAAAAATTATATAATGCAAAGTTGTTTATTCTTAGTTGTTTTTTTTAAATACAATTTATAAAAAGTAAGATTCTTAAGGGCCCCCTGAGTGCCTGGGGCCCCTGGGCACTGCCCGGGTGTGCCCATACGTAAAGACGGTACTGAAGGAGATGACAAACCGTCTCATCTGCTACGAAAAATGAGAAAATTAGGAGGGAAAGGTATTGCAGATGAATTTCTGAAAACATTATGACTACCAAGATTGCCATCCGAAATGCAAGTGATATTATCTATCAGCTCCGAATCATTCAATAATTTGGCGAAAATGGCCGACAAAGTTTCGGTAGTGTGCACATCCTCAAATAATCACGTGTTTGCTGTGGGACAATCTACTCCTGCATGCCCCTCCAACCCCTACAATATTTCCTCTCCGTTAGAAGAGCTTGGGGCTTTACGTAGCGAAATCGCTGCTTTGAGTTAACAGGTTGAGCGACTATCTCGCGAAAAAACTAGATATCCATTTTCCCGGAATCCTATCACTCGGGAGCTTAGTTTTTCCCGCGGCACATCTCGCAATCGAACCACTGGTTATTGTTTTTTCCACGCACGTTTTAAAAACAATGCTCGAAAGTGTCGGGAACCTTGTTCTTTTCCTCGAGATTCTACGAATCAGGAAAACTCACAATAGCGACTGTCGATCAATACTTGTCGACAGTCGCTCGCTCATGCCGTTTACATATTTTCGACAATAAATCAAATTTAAAATTTTCAATCGATTCAGGTTCAGATGTTTCATGCATACCACCGACATCTAAAGCTAAAAATATGAAACCTGACTCATTACGATTATTTGCAGCGAATAACTCTAAAATTTTTACTTATGGCACAACAATATTGCATGTAAATTTAGGACTCAGGCGACATTTTTCTTGGAAATTTTTAATCGCTAATGTGCCGGTGCCTATTATAGGAGTAGATTTTTTAAGGAATTTCGATCCTTTGATTGATTTAAAATGCAGTGGGCTTATTGATAATATTACAAAATTATCCAGCACTGGTTCAGTTTCTAATCGTGTCAATTACTATTCGGTACAGCTTATCGCTGAGGATTAACCATATCTCAATATCCTTAAATATTAAATGTGAAAGCTAATTTGAGTAATGTTAAGCATAACACGGTCCACTATATTGAGACGGATGGACCTCCCATACACAGCAAACCACGACGATTAAGCCCTAAATTTTACGAAAAAGTAAAAAAAGAATTTCAATTTATGATTGAGCAGGGTATTTGCCGACCATCAAAATCGGCGTGGTCATCACCTCTTCATGTCGTTTCAAAAAGCTCTGGTAACATACGCCCAGTAAGCGATTATCGTCAATTAAATGCTCGTACAGAGTCGGATCGTTTATATCCTATCCCTCATTTGCAAGATTTTAATAATACGCTGAGAGGAAGGAAAATTTTTTCAAAAATCGATATCGTTCGTGCTTATCATCACATCCCGGTACACCAGATCAAATTCCGAAAACTGCGGTCTGAACACCATTCGGCCTTTTCGAAATTTCCGTTTTTAAATTTGGCCTCTGTGGTGTTGCGCAAACCTTCCAAAGGTTTATGAATGAAGTTTTAGGCGACTTAAAATGTTGTTACGTGTACCTGGACGATATTTTGATATTTAGTGTAACAGATGACGAGCATGAAGCTCACTTACGTATTGTTTTTGAAAGATTAAATTCGTATGGTCTGACAATTAATGTGGCTAAATGTGTTTCTGGCGTTACCGAAATCTCTTTTTTTTGGATACTTAATTAATGAAAATGGAACTAAACCCCTACCGAACAAAGTCGAGCCGATCCTTAATTTTCCACTTCCGAAAACATTTAAAGATCTTCAGAGATTTTTAAATTTTTACCTAATGTAGCCCAAAATCAGATGCATTTAACGTCTTACTTAAGGGAAGCAAAGAAAAACGATAAAATGAAGCTTGTTTTGTCAACAGCAGCGCAAGACGAATTTAAAAATTGCGAAATATTAATTGCGAACCCAGTTCTTTTAATTCACCCTACGATAGACGCGCAATTAATTTTACAAGTTGACGCGTCAGATTTTGCAATCGGCGGGGCACTGTCACATCTAGTTAACGAAAATTACCAACCCTTCGCATTTTTTTCCAAAAATCTTTCGCAAAGAGAAAGAAATTACAGCGCCTATGACCGAGAATTATTAGCCGCATACGCGGCGATTAAGAACTTTAGACATATGTTAGAAGCACGGAATTTTTCATTGCTTACCGATCATAAACCATTGACATTCGCACTCTGTCAGCGCTAAGATAAATATTCACCACGACCATCAAGACAATTAGATTACATATCTCAGTTCACATCTGATGTACGCCACATAAAAGGATCCGAGAATATTGCCGCTGATGTGCTTTCGCGAATCGAGAGTATGCCCAGTCCTGTAGATTACGAAGGTCTAGCTAAAGCGCAACAAACCGATTCGGAATTGAAAAATTTATTGGAAAATTCTGAAGTTTTGCAATTGAAAAAAAAATTACCTTTCCACATTGTGATATACCTATTTACTGCGACTTATCAACGGGTACAGCGCGTCCTTCTATATCACAACCTTTTCGCAAGAAAATATTTGTTTCTCTGCATAATTTGTCTCACCCTGGTATTCGCGCGACTTCTAAACTAATATGTTCTCGGTTTGTCAGACCCTCCATCCGAAAAGATTGAGTGAACTGGGCTCGGCAATGTATCCCTTGCCGAAAGTCCAAGACAAAGCGACACACTAAAACACCGTTAGGGAAATTTTCAGACCAGTCGCAGAGGTTCGATCACGTCCATTTCGACCTCGTTGGCCCTCTTCCTCCTTCTCAGGGTAATTACTAGAGCCCGGATTTTGATGACCCAAAAAATCTCAACTAATGCCCTTAAAAAGTGCAAAAAATGCCCTTAAGAAGGGTAAAACATGCCCTTAAAAATGCAAAATTTGCTCAAAAAATGCCTTAAATAAAGTAAAAATATTGAATTAAAAAAATGTTTTGCTATGAGTCATTTAAAAAATATAAGGCAATGCAATACTTGTTCTACGTTCATTAAAGCTTGAAAAATATTTTTACATCCTAAAATAACAAAAAAAGGAAAATATATTGACACCAAAATATTTTTATTTTGTATAGAAACTTTAATGGATATAACAACTTCCATCTCATAACATTACTAACTATCAGAATTACATTGGATTATTAAATGTTTTTTGATAATTTGAAATGCAAACGAGCGACTCTTGTCTGAAAGTAAATTTTCATTCCTGCAGAAGCTTCTTTCAACGTCTACTGATGTTATAGGTTGCTTACTGTTGCTGAAATTACTAATGCTTGCTTTGAGCCTGCTAACCAGATGGTAAAATGTGATCCTAGACATGGCAAATACATGGCTTGCTGCCTTCTCTATAGAGGTGATGTAGTACCAAAAGACGTTAATGCTGCTATTGCTGCCATCAAGACCAAACGCACTATTCAGTTTGTTGATTGGTGTCCAACTGGTTTCAAGGTAACTATTTATTTTGTGGTCACTATTAAAAATTTCTATTCTCTCTACTGCATCTATGCTAGTTATTAACATTTGATTTCGATGTTCTTAATAGTTTTTAGTGTCTCTGTGGCTTGCTAAAGTTATAGATATTAAAACTCCTATTGATTTTTGAGAGCAATTTGCTTAGTCCAGCTGAATTATGACTTTAGGAGGTGAAAATAAAGAATAAAATCATAAACAGAAAGAAAAGCTTTAGAAGCATACAATTTATTTATAGAAATTAAATTTAAAACCTAATCAATTTTCCTGCATCAAAGAACTTAGAAACACTATATGCTTGTTGTGCATTCAGTTCACTGGGTATAAAAAAATTTTAATCAATAAATACTTTGTTTTTTTTTTTCCAAACTGCAATTGCAATCACATGATTTAAATTACATATTGCGATTCATATTCATGTGGTTTAAAAGTATTCGTAGAGGTATTAAAGTTATTTAAAATTGAGATCCATACTTTTTTCCTTGTTAAAATATTGTTCATGAAAATGTGAACAATTAAGTTTCTGTTTGATTTTTTCCAACTCATCCCTGGTTTTGAAATACTTTTTTAAAATAAAAATAAACTTTGGTTCAACTGAAGTAAAGGTTGCGTGGCTTTTAATTCCATGGAGTAACGATACTTACTTGGAGCTTATTTATTCCAAGCTGCAAATAAATTTCAATGGAAAACAAACTGAACTTATAACTTTTCTTAACTTGTTAATTTAACACTAGGATTATGAGGCATGTCATTTTGGTGCATTTCGAATTTTATAAGGAAAATACAAAACTCGTTTGCATTTTTATTTTATCTCTTGTAATGACTTTTATCCATTGATCGAGGTAAATATATTAAAGTCGTATTTTCTTCAAAAGCGTTGAAATATTGGTGTACCTATCTCTACGGATATGCGTCAATCTGATGCGATTATAATTTAGACAAAATTTTGAGTAAACATGCAAACATCATCACATCAATAATAAATAGGAATGTACCGACAATACTTTGATCCAATATCATTATCTCAAATTAAACAAGCAAAAAGCAACTGTTTCATCTCATATTTTCATTTCCCCCCCATTATAGTATGTAATTACATTGCTCTCTAAGTGCAGAGATGCCATCTGTTCCGGACACGCCAAACTAATTTTAAAAAACTGTAGATAACTACTAAGTGAATTTTGCAAACATAAAATTCTGCATTCTATAAATAAGCCTACGGATTATTTAGAAATAGTGGTGGATAAAAATCTACTTAATTGAATTTATTAAACCATGAACTACCACTTTAAAATATATATATTTGCAGTCTGAAGCGAGTTGGCATCTCTGTTAGTGCTGTTATAGGTATTCGTCAAATTGATGTGTGGTTATAGAAATAGGTGTACAAGAAATGTCCGTAAACCTAGTGTTAAATACTGTTATTGTCTGATACTGATCATAGCTCCTAGTGTATTTGAAATTAAGTACATTCTTTTTCCTTTCAATTTTTTTCATTTATTTGAAATCCTTTTTAGGTTGGCATTAACTATCAACCCCCAACTGTTGTACCAGGAGGTGATTTAGCGAAGGTTCAACGTGCTGTCTNAAAATCTTGATTACAAGTACCAGATTACTGTAATCAAAATTGTAATCATGATTACAGCTGTAATCAAACTTTTTTGAAGGTCAAGTAATTTATTACTTGTAATCGTGATTACAAGTAATTGATTACGTAGCTGTAATTATCTGTAATCAATTACAGTTGTAATCTATTACTGTAATTAACGGCCAACTCTGCCTCACGCTTATCTTATGTTACGCTTACGAGACGATGTGTGAACAGGTTTCATATTTTAGAAAGTTTTATTATTGTGATTTGTGCTTAAATTTACGCTTAATTTGATCATTCATAAGAATTTTCTGTAGCTTATAAATTATAACAGGTAGTGAGCCTAAAAAAATTCAAGGAAATTAATATCACAACATAGTTAAGAGCAATAAGAAGATTCAAATTTGACACCCCATGCCACTAAAATGAAAAATCAGTAGACAAGGTAACTGTCGATTGAGAATGGGCTTACGCGCTAAAAGACGCCAAAAAAAGCTGTTGTGCCAAATCTCGTACACATGAATAACGATTAAGCGAAAACGATGCCGAAATTAGCCAATAAGATTTATCCATAGTTGCGGCTGCTTAGCTTGGCAACGTCCTCAAGATTACTCGTTGCCGCTAAGCAACAGGCGTAAATAAACATTAAACACAACTGTTCTGAGTGGACCGAAATAAAAGGATATTCTAAATGAGTTTAAAACGCATATCTAATATTCGTTTATTTAGCACATTTCAATTGCTGTTTTTGAAGGTTAAGAATTTATTATTGATTAAACATCTTGTATGACTTGCGCTTAAAAATAAATAAAAAGATGAATGCAATTATCCTTATCTAATCCTTATTCCATTACCTCAATTTCAAGTTGAGAGATACACAGTAATCTGGTACTGACAAGTTGTCGTACTTTTGGATCAGGAAATTTACCCATTCACTATTTGGAAAATAAGAATTATTTAATATTTTTATCATGTTTTAGTAAAGGACACACACACAATATAATGGAGGATGACCATAGTGTTAATACTTTAATGCAATAAGTTTGAGACTTATTGTTGTTTGTATTAACTAAATTATTATTTTCTTGCGTGCATGGGAAACTTAATATCCTAGTTCTGTGTTATCATTAAAATTTAATGCATAATCGTCCTGAGCTCAGTCTCCTGAACAAACTCATGTTTGCCTTGCAATTTCGAGCGTTTCACAATATTTAACAGTTTGTTTTGAATATAATTGTTCTGAATACAGAAAAGTTAGTTGTGGAACGATTACTGAAACGATACCTGAAGCAAAATGTCATTGAGTTTTGCTAACAGGGTCGCGGCATGTAATAAATTAAGAAAAATGTCTCAAAATGGGCAGACTTCTAGTCTTCGAACAGTCTGTTATATACTTTTTCAAATTTACATGCCACTATTTCAGGCAGTGGTGTGAATAAAAAGCACCTCAAAAGAAGAGCAACTGAAATAGTATGACTTGCATTTTTAAATCTGCAAAAATTTAAAAGCCCTTAGTCGCCTGGGTGATTTCGGCTTGAATAGAATATTTTTTAATTTATAGCAAGTATAAGTAGCATTTTGATTATAGCAGAATGTACTAATATGTATCACAGAATATCTCTGTTTATAATAGCATAACATGATAGTTAATTGACATTGATAATAGCATAAAGTTGACTTCAATTTACACATGATAAAATTTTTGAAACTAATCTTGGACACAGATTCTGAAACTATGTTCCATAAAGTATTTACTGCTTTGGAAAACATATCCCAGTGCTCTACAAAACGATAGAACATGTTTAAAACTTTTGAGCAAAGTTTAAAACTTTTAAAAACAATTTAACTGTATTATTTGAAAAAGATAAAATTTACCTTTTTTAACATATGAGTATTGTTACGGTTTTTTCTATGTGGGGGTATATAGATTAAGCATCTCCATAATTTTAAAAAATGTCTCTAGTTCTTCAGAAAATTTCACATGAGTCCACTATCGCCCTTGGCTCTGTCACTTGAATTCCTTGAGCCAAGTATGATTCTTAATCTGATCCAGCAATATCAGGCTCGATGTAATAACATCAAGAGCCCATGAGTAGAGAAATATTTTGAGTACCTGTAAAAGCACCTAATCTAAAATCAAATGTTATTTATAACTAAAACTATAAATTTTTGGACATTATTGACTCTTTAAAACATTTGAACATTATTGACTCTTAAAATAAAAGTTGGAACTTATCAGTTATTGGAACCATGAAGCTTATTTCTCCATAGATTTATGGATGCAATTCTCCTATTTAAATAGGAAATTTTTGTTGCACAGTAGTTAAGGTGGTAGTAAAATTTGGATTATATCATTAAATGCTTGATTTAATAAATATTATTTACAATAATTTTGACCACCATCATATACCACTTTAAACAAATATCTAAGACCCAATATCAGCTATAGGATACATGAAACCAAATTTTTGATAGATTTATGCATATAATTCTCCTATTCGAATGGGAGATTTTTGTTGAATTGTTAAGGTGGTAGTAAATTTTGTGTTATACAGTGAAATCTCTTGTGAGTGATCACTTTCTGTTCCACCGTAAAATGGTCCTTATTTTAGATTTTTCGTTCTTAGGGGTTCTCTACATTGCCTTTAAAATGTTGTCGAAAGTACTTGATTTTCTGCAAACAATTTTATTTTTAGTTAGTGTTATTTTCTTGGTGTGGAAATGCCACTTGTGTTGGCTTCATGAAAACCGGATTGATAAATAAAATTTAGTATCATAAAAAACAATTTCTACTGATATAATTATGTTCAGAAACAAATTTAAAAATTATGTATGATGGAACTATTTTAAATAAATAATTAGAATTTTTTTTTTAAAGTTTGCTTTTAATTTTATATCATAAAAATTAGTTAGCTTTAAAAGATGAGAAGAGGTTTTTTTGTTTGAGATGTTTAGTTTTTTCTGAAATTACTTTTTTTCCTAATGTCAATTTCAACTCTAAAAATCCATTGATAGCATCGTCTTTAGTGCACTTTGACGGTAGCATGAGGTTCTAGATATCTTTCAGGTGTCGCCAAAAGAGCTCTCTAAATAAGAGCCTCACACAAATATTTTAAATACATTTTAATCTACTTATTTATTTTGTTAATATTTTTGGCTTTGATATTTTTTTGTGTTTCCTTATTTGACCTTTTCCGCATTTGATGGAGAGATTTGTTTGGTCGCTGAGAGAGATTTTAATGGTCTCTCCTAAATGTTTTCTGTAACACAAAGTAAATAGAGGAAGTTGCTACATAGAGGTGGTCTTCCAGGAAGGTTTCACTGTATCAGTAATTGTTAGATTGAATGAATATCATTTACAATAATTTTGACCACTATATTATGTATTAATACTTCAACCAAATATATAAGACCTGATAATCCTGCGGTAGAATCTTGGAATTGTAGACAAAATTAAACTTTCCTAAATTTTTATTTTTCTGCAACTAATATCGCGGAAGATTTGAGTTGCTAGACCGGTCGTGATTAAAAATCATAGTCTTTGTAACTGATAAGTTATATTGTATATTGTAGGTATAAGTTTATTTGTAATTGAGTAGGCTCAAATCTTGGCAACCACTCAAAATGAAAATAACTGCAATGAGTTGGAGGTTGTATAAACTTTTTAATGATTAAATTTGTATCAGTTGAAATAAGTTTCTTTTCTTTCTGAACTTGATTTAACCTCTCCTTTTCTTTGTTTTGCAACTTAAAAAAATCCCTCTTAAAATTTTAACATAAAGCATTTCCTTTCCCTTAATTATTTTTTAATATATTAGTGTTAATTTTTTAGCCACTTTAAGCGAGTGGTTCATGACTTAGTTTGTTTTACTTATTGTATTATTGTTTGTATGACTTAGTTTTCATTGATGACATGAAAGTTAAGTAGGAAAAAAAAAATACAAAAATGTAGAAAAAATTTATGAAAAAAATAATTAATTTCTTAAAACAAAAATCACAAAGAAGTGTTATTAAATGTATTATTAGATAAATAAATATGTATTATTTAGAATTTTTTTAAGATTCATGAGGCATAAAATAAGATATATTAGGACTGCAGAGTGCCCGAAGCCCCCAAAGCAATGCCCATGTGTAAAGACCTTACTCTTCTTAATTGTCATTTATGAAACAATCATTCACTGAGAACATACAATCTATATTCAAACGAGGTAAACATTTAATTATCATTTAGTGCTGTTTCGCTGGAAATAGTTACAGGCTAATGCATTTGTTGAAGTTTTTAATTCCTAATGACTAAATTANATTTTTTTTAGTTGGGTTTAACAATAAAAAAAACGGCTTTTTGTAGCGATTCAGAAAACCGGAAAAATCAGTTATCCGGAATAGCGATGGTCCCGACCGTTCCGGATAATCGGTTCCCTACTGTATTAGTGTTAATTTTTTAGCTACTCAAAGCGAGCGATTCATGACTTAGTTTGTTTTACTTATTGTATTATTGTTTGTATGACTTAGTTTTCATTGATGACATGAAAGTTAAGTAGAAAAAAAAATACTATGTAGGAAAAATTTATGAAAAAATAATTAATTTCTTAAAAAAAATCACAAAGAGGTGTTATTAAATGTATTATTAGATAATTAAATATGTATTATTTAGAACTTAAGATTTAGGAGGCAGAAAATAAGATATCGTAGGACTGCAGAGTGCCCGAAGCCCCCAAAGCAATGCCCATCTGTAAAGACGTTACTCTTCTTAATTGTCATTTATAAAACAATTGTTCAGAGAACTGAGAACATACAATCTACATTCAAACGAGGTAAACATTTAATTATCATTTAGCGCTGTTTCGCTGGAAATAGTTACAGGCTAATGCATCCGTTGAAGTTTTTAATTCCAAATGACCTAATTAGCATTCTTTTTTCTAGTACTCAGTTTTGTTCTTTATTTTAAACTGAAGACATGCAATATATTTAGGTACTTAGGCCTCAGTGGCCTGTAAAAGAATGATTACCATAGTACAGTGGTCCCCAACCTTTTTGTACCTAAGAGCAAATACCAGAATATCGGTCGAATGGCGGGCACCATTTATTTTTTCAAGATAAATTTATAGTTGGTAGACATAGGTAATAATACACACTACAATAGTGCACAAAAAATTGAATTTGAAAAATTAATTTGGCATATGAATATAATTTATTAATATTCTTGTGTAAAATAAATGATTACTAAATTGCTTTCAAAATATACGAAGTAGAAAAATTATTTATAAAATACAGTCACTGTGGTGTTGGCATGACATTTCGCTGGCCAGCGCTACATAATTGGGAGAATATGATGCTCTTTTTTAAAATGGAATTTATTCCTTCAACTATATTCCAGAATTTCTCATGTGATATAATAGTTTTGAGGATAATGTCTTTCTGAAGATCCACAATTTCTATATCCAATTCTTCTCGCTTTACTTGAAGAAATTCTGAAATGTATGTTGCTATTACGGTTACGTTTATTTGGTTGGTAAAAGGATTAACAAAAAAGTTATCAGAGGCTCAATGATATTAAATTGTTGAGAGCGCTTTTTAAATTGATCTTTAAGCAATTGGAGGTTGATGACAAATGTTAATAAGTCAATTTCACTGTCACCTAACATTTTTTTTATGTTCGGAAAATGCATAAGAGACTTCATTTTCAAATGTGATATCCACAAAACTAGCTTAGCTCTGAACGAGTTTATAGCCTCTATCATTTTTGCTTTATGTTTGTCCTTTCCCTGCAGCTCCAAGTTTAAATTATTTAGTTTTTCCGTTGTGTCCATTATGAAAGACAAAGCTGCTAGCCAAAAAGGATCTCTTAGTTCCAAAAATGTTTGATTTTTGGCTGCAAGATAATTTTTAATTTCTCCAATTAAATGTAGAAATCTATCGAGTACTTTGCCGTTACTGAGTACTTCAGTATGTATTTGCATAGAATTTATTGGGAAAATGGAAAACTGAAATATTTTATAGTTGGGCACAAGCAGCGGGCGCATCTAGATCGATCGACGGGTGCCATGGTGCCCGCGGGCATAGGGTTGGGGACCCCAGCCATAGTAGGTATCATTAGGATTAGGTATCACAGTAAGTAGGTTATCTTAAGGTATCTGTAAACACAACACTTATTATCAGAGTATCTATTGTCTCACAGTGGCTGATCATATGACAATATTTCTAGTCAAGCATAACTGGCTGGGGTCAGTAAGCAGGTGCGTGATCAGTTTGAACTGCCTGTTAGGGATAAGGGCATTCAGTATAGGTCCTTGTTCAGCTGTTTTACCGTAAAGTGCTTGACTTCCCACTAGGCTACCAAAGTGAGAAAGCTATCCCCCTATAGAAGGTCAAAATTGTGATTGCAGGTTTTTGAATCATCCTCATGATTGCTTCCACCAATAGCCCATTGTGCTGTTCTGTGTGATGTAAATAAGGTACTACTACAATATAGTACCTATTACCACAGTCAATTAAGCATTATTTGCATTAATAGTAGATAGGCAATTTTTTTATGTTCATCATCTTCTGAAGCGGATGAGTATAACTACCTATGTTTCGATACAAACGTATAAATAAATATCTTTATAAGTACAAAAATATTGTTATAATTTAGTAATGGGAAGAGTTTTCAGCATTTTAATGTATTTATATTTTAGTTTCACAGGTCCAGCTGCTTATGTGAAGATGAAGTATTTAAAGCAGTGAAAGCTTCAAAAACTTCTGTTGGACCAACAATATTTTCCAAGATTCTGGATAAGAGTATCCCCGCAGATATATTATACGAAGATGAAAAAGTATCAGTTTCCTCTCTATAATTATTTTTCTTTAAAATAGAATTTTTAATTTTGCTAAACAGTGCTGATTAGAAATAATCTTTTTTTTGTTGTCTTAAGTTCTTTTAAATTTTTAAAAATACTAAAGTTAATAAAATAAATATGGCAATAAAGTGTAAATGGAAGTACAAAAATGGATATACTATAGCTTCAGTTTTATAAATAAAAATTTTCCTTGGTGTCTAAACACCAAATAATAAATAAACTATTATTATCTTCTCAGCTATAATTTGGTGTATAGACACTGGAAAAGATTTTTTTTATAAAACTGACTACAGGATGTCTATTTCTGTACTTTTATTTGTGCTTTATTAAATTTTTTTATTTTTTTACTTGGATGATTTATGGATGATTGACTAAATGTTAAAAATAACTTTCTAAAACCAGTAGAAAACTTACAGTTTTCCATTTGTGTTACGCTTTACAAGACAATGTGTGAATCAGCTTATTATTTTAGCAAGTTTTATTTCTGTGATTTTTTGTTCAAATTAATGCAAAATTTTACCATTCATAAGAGTTTTCTGTAATTTATAAATTCTAATTCTAACTATTTCTGTAATTTATAATTCTATTTAAGAAAATTAATGTCCCAGCATAAATAAAGTTTAAGGTTTGCCATGTTTTGAGTGCTATCCCTTATTTGGGTATATTTGTTTAAAATATCGTTATCTGTTATTTTTGAGGTAACATCACAGCATGCTGTTGGAGTCTTCCAAATTCATTTATTTGTTTCATTGAAAGTTAATTTGATGAATTGACAATCGCGCACAACAATCATAAACAATAATTGAAAGAATGTGTTGTATGGTAATTGTTATTGGTCTTTTAAATATAAAAAGGAGCATATTTCAGAGAAAAGTGTCAAAAATAGAAAGTTTTTAAAACTGAAAATCTTTGGGTTTATAATCAATCCTACCTAAATAATAATAAAAAAATAATAAAGGGGAGCAGGTGTCTCCATCTATTTGAAAAAAGAAAAAAAAACTTACATTGCATGGAACAGGGGCTTACAAATCTTGTTTTCAGTATTTAATTAAAATTTAAATTTTTTTCTAAATTTAAAAATCTATAGATTTTCTGGGGAAAAAGAAAATTTTTTCCTTAAATTTCTTATGAGAAGATGTGTCTTGTGATTTAAGCTTGTAAAAACAATTATGTACCATATTTTGACCACTTATATATAAATAAAAAAAAGGTTTGCTTATATTTTAAGTGCTAAAACTGATTTCTTATTTAAATTTAGAAGGAAAAAAAAACATGAATAAAAATGATATTGCCATAAAGTCTTATTTGTGTGTAAAATAATTAAATAAATAAATATTTGTTTAACATCCTTGTTTTTCTTTGCATAGTGCATGGCTTTCCGAGACGTTTCCCCTCAAGCTCCAGTCCACTTTCTTGTCATTCCTCGGAAAGTTATCCCATCTTTAGCTGATTCTTCTAAAGAAGACTCACCTGTAAGTGATGATTTATTCTGCTTTAAAGTTCTTTGAATATTATAATGAAGTATTATTTACATATTTAATTAATTATTTATTCAAAACTATGTATCTATGTTGTAAACTGTGGCTTCAAAGTTTCATTATAAAATAAAAAATTATAAACGAAAATTTCTTAAAACAAACATTACGGAAGGTCTTATTAAATACATTAGTTCATTAAATATGATATTAAATATATCTGGTTAATTTTGCTGCCCCCTTTTAATTGTTACTTCTGTGTTAGGCTAATACAAAACAAAGAAGCAAAAAAACAAAGCATCACTAGTGACATATTTTCTTACCAATTACACTTTAACCTAGGAGTGCATAATATGTTTAATTGCACTAACAAGGCTAGGAAGAAATTTAAGAACACCAGGCAAAATTTTTTATTAAAAAAAAAAATTCTGTAGCTTTACAAAATGTTTCCCTTGTAATGTTTCTGTGTTTTATTTTTTTAACTAAAGCAAATTGAAACTACTATTGTTAAATTAAAAATGTGTTATTTTTGGACAAATGAGGCTTACTAAAGAAGGAAAAGTAAGTCATCATTTAAATGTAAAAATTTGCATTTTCAAAGTTTATTATAATATATTTTTTTAATTTCTTACGACATATCAACTTAATCCAGAAAAGGGATATTTTATTTTTCTAAATTATAAATTTGTTAAGAATTCTATTAGTTTTAAAAATGAAACACTATCTTATTATAGAATTACGTGCAATGCAATAATTTTTTTTCTTTGTTAACAAAATATCATTATCAAAATTTTTTTAAACTATGTACAAGCTTTATTTTCTAAAATTCTTTTTTAAAAAATAATGTAACTCAAAAAAAAAGTGCTATAATTTTTGAAGGATTTTCAAATCAAGAAACTATGTTCTGGGAAAATATTAGACTCTTCTGAATTTTCTGCACCCCCGATCCTTAGTATCTGTAGTATAAATATACTAGAGATACTCAGTTTTCTCTGTATTGTTGTTGATAACCACATCTGTATTAACTTTTCTATCATTGATAAAGCTCTTGCTAAACTCTATCAAACCAATTGCCCCTCTTTTACAGATATATCTCCTTCCTAAAATTGTTAAACTAATTTTTTTCTTTCTATGTATTATAAGATTACTAATATTTTTTTCTTGCTCTGAATTTGAAGTAATATATAAACCTTTTGCAAAAAATTGAAGTCATTTGAAAAAGATTTTACTGTTAATAGTTAGTAGAACAGTATATACCTTGTTAATAAATTCTGATTGATATTGATCATTAAGTACAGTTATTACTTAATGATCAGCATTTTAAATTAAATGGTTTCACAAAATGACTATTCAAGACCGTATCTGTTTCTGTGACCTTTAAATTTTTTATATTTTTATTTGTTTTAGTAACCAGTGTTAAACAGCTGACCCAATTTTAAGTTACTATTTGCTATAAATGTTCAACTCTGTAGACTTGTAATTTTGAACCCAAATTTTGATTGGTTCTAATGCCTTTCAAAAGTGTCTGAATGGCCAGAGCAAGCTCCTTGAATAGAGGCCACTTAGAAGAGAAGTATAGCCTCTGAGAAAAGCAAAAAGAAGCTAGTCAAATTTATGAAATGAAAAAATTATTTGAAAGATATTGAAGTCTTAATTCATAATTTGAATTATGTGTTAAAAAAAACTTGTTGTTCCCAGTCAATTTCCTTCATACATAAAGAATACTTAAAATTTAATGAGTATTTAAAATTTAATGAATATTTAAAATTTAATGAATATTTAAAATTTAATGAATATTTGAAATTAAACTTTATCATTAAATTTGTTTGAAAATTATGTTTTATACTTGATAAAATATTTTTTTCACTGACAAGACAAGCCCTGGCCTTCGTCAAAATTCCTTTCTGCATTGTCCTGTTCTTGGCCGAGGTTTTCCAGTTTGTTATTCCAATAGTTTTAAGGTCTTTTCCCTGACAGTCAAGCTATTTAAGTTTTTATCTTCATCATTTTTAGGTACTAGATTTGGCCCAGAAGTTCATTTCTTTTTAGTGACTTGACTATTTTAAAATCTGTCCCTTTAAACCTTAATATAGCAATAAATTTAAAGGTATCTGGCTATTTAAATAGTCTATCCATAGAATTCTGAATTTGTTCTTCTTGTTCAATATTTGTCCCACTTCATTCCTTCAAAAATACATCTTAATTTTTTATTATTATTTGAAATTATCAACACTATAGCAAAAATCATTGAAATGCCTTCTCTTCAGATATAGAACTATGAATGATCAGTTTTCTTGTCTGAGGAGAAATAAATTTTCTGTTCACACCAAAAGTAAGAAATTTTCCAGTTGTAATAAAATTTTGCTCGTGTTAAAAGATATTTCACGTTAAGCATGTTTGCTTGAAAGGACTTTAAAGCATTATATCCAAATAAAATTTGATGTGGAATTGAAAATTAGTTCACATTAAAAGAAAGTCAAGTTAAAGATGTTCACTTTAACAACGTTCTGTTTTAAGAATACTTTATATTTACTAGACTTTAATGTTAAGATATTTCTGTTGATTATAATATTATAAATTATTTTATAAACTCTTTAGCAAACTGAATTAAATGTACCTCTTAAAAAGAATGAAGTATGTTTTTAATGTAAAATCTCGATTCATTGTTTTAGCTTCCAACTCAAAAGTTGTAGCTCTTTACAGTATTTAAAGCTGTTGTAAAATAACAATTATGTATGCAAATATTTTTATTATGAAATTATATTTTTATTATGAAATTATATTTTTATTATGAAATTACGTTTTTATTATGAAGTTATGTTTTTATTATGAAATTATATTTTTATTATCATGAATTTAGTTCTGCCATTATCACAACTTATACAATTACATTTATTTGAATTATTTAAATGTTGGAATGCAAACATTATTTTAAATCTAACTGTTAAAGAATAAAATCCATTACTATTTTAAATATTAAGGGAAAATCTTTTGCTAAAGCATGTAAAAGTTGCCATGTCTATGTATGCAAGGGTAAGATAGAAAATTCAAGCATACTTGAAAAAATTATAAAGTTTTAAAAGTAAAATTTTGAGAATAAATTTTCCCTTTTTTATTTTTCTCACAAAAAATTTTCATTTCTGAATCTTTTGGTCATTTTACTTTGCTAAGTAAAAGTAAACATACCAAAAAAATAAAGACAAGACGTTATCTTTATTTCCTTATACACAAGAAAGAAAAAAAAAATTTAAACTTCACTCACTCAGCTCTTCATTTGATAATAAAATGAGAAAGTTTTATGGCATTTTTTGAAAAAATTGTATCCTTTTTAATGCAATAAAAATGCATAAATATAACAATAAAAAGGAATTTTGTTGCTATAATTCTTTTTTTTTTATCAAAACAATCAAGTCAGTAAATTAGTTTTCAGTTGTATTTGTTTAATTTTATATTTATTTAAATACAAGTGTTGCTGAAACTTCTCAATTGTTTAATTGATGTACATTGTCAAAAAAAAAAAAAAGAATCATCTTGAATAACTTTTGATCTACTAATGATTGGATTTTCTTGTACTGGGACTCAATCTTCATGGTTTGTGTGGTCTGCCTTAAATATGTTTATTAATTAATGGGGACAGAAAGTTATGAAATCAGACAAAAAAAAAATTCTGTCAAATGACGATGATGTCTGACTTTCGAAATGTAGGCGATATTTACAATCTGGGAAGTATGGTTCTAGTAGTTTAGTCAGGAGAGCTGTCCAAAGTTTGAATTCTCAGTGTTAAATTTTTTTTTATATGTATTTTGCAATACCTCCAGAACTCTTTTTAGTGAATTGAACATTTTTTGCACACCACTATAGAATTCATTTATCCAGCGATAATTTCATGCAAATGATATTTTTCAATAATTATATTTTGTTTTTGTAATTCTATTTAATTATACAATGGAATCCCGATTTTACATTTTTAGCCCGACTAGCATTAAAACATGCACCAAGTGAGAAGGTGTCAATACGGAGAAAAACCACCGTTTTGTAAAAATTAAAATTGCGGTCTAATTGTTTAATATTTAAAAACTTACTCCCATGATGCATTATCTGGGCTCATAACATTTTTGTGAAAACAGAGAATAAGTCAATTATTTTGATAATTTTCATGTTTTCATTTTTAAAATAAAATTAATAACTTTTAAAATATTTAAGCTATTTGTCTGTTCTAATGCTCAGATATGCTGCTTCACGGCAAAATTTTATATATAGTTTAAAATCATTGCATTGCTTTAAGTGTAAGGCACTTAAACTATGGCTTTTTTTATTTTTCTTGGTGACAGAGCTTTGAAAAGCAGCATCAAAAAGAGAATCCCCAGTTTTAAAACACAGCTTGATCAAAATATCACGAAGTCTATTTCTCTATCAATGTATTTTTTTTTATTATCATACATATTAATTCAACTTTATATACGTTACATTTATTATTCACATTTAATTCTTTGAAATTTTTATTTAATTTAGCTTTTAGGGCATCTTCTTCAAATAGCAAAAGAAGTTGCTGCGAAACAAAATCTTTTAAATGGTTATAGAGTTGGTAAGCAAATTTTTTTTTGAAGATCACTGTCTCGTTTAGAGTAGTATTTTGCTTGTTTTAATTAGATATATTTTAAATATATCATTTTGTTTAATTGTGAAATTCACAGGATTTCAAGCAGTCACAATTTAATATAACATTTTTGTTTAATCTAAACAATTTTATTTAATGAAAATTAGGATAAAAATAAAACAAATAAGATAAAAATCATCTTATGCAAATTAAGATGTTGAAAAGTCTATTACAGTCTTCCTTTTGCATAAATTATCTTCACTGATTGATTTTCCTCACGGAAGTATTGTACATCATTTTCTGAAAGGGGAACAAATCCTAAACTTTTTTCTTGGACCATCCTCCCCTACAAATAAAACAAATAAGATGAAAATCAACTTATGCAAATTAAGATGTTGAAAAGTCTCTTACAGTCTTCCTTTTGCATAAATTATCTTCACTGATTGATTTTCCTCGCGGAAGTATTGTACATCATTTTCCGAAAGGGGAACAAATCTTAAGCTTTTTTCTTGGACCATCCAGGCAGTTTCGTAGATCTACTTACTCTAGTGTTTGAGACGTTCTGGTAGCGAAAGTGTTAAAGCTTTAGTGTCTGTTGTAATTGATTTGATGCTCCTTCTGGCTGGATACATGGGGTTATGTTTTTATGATATGGGAACAGAAAAAATAACGAAATATAACATCAGCTAGTTTAGAACGTTGGTGGTTAACGGCATTTTGCCGTAAAATGCATTATTTACTTTGTTCTTTTGTAGAATGATGAAAAAAAGGATGAAAATAGAGAACATCGAAAAAATGTTAAAAATTCTGACGCAAGATTTTTTTTCCTCAGAAAACAATAAAATTTTATTATTTAATAGTGTATCTTTTTTAACATTGGTGAAAATGGAGACCTATATAAATAAATAAAAAATAAAATTTAAAATCGTATACAAAAATAAAAACTAAATTTTCTTTGCTACTAATAATAAAATTTTACTCATCCTATTAAAAAGCGGTTATGCAAATGTATTTTATAAACTGTTCATAGTTCTACATTAAAATTTAAACAAGATAAGGAAAAAACAAAAGTAATGTCCTGAAGTAACTCCACTTTTCAGTACTGAGGGTAGTTTTGTCAGGATAATTTTATAGTTTTGCCACCATCAAAAAGTGTTCCACAATAATCCAGCTCTATGGTTTTGAGAAGAGTTTTTGTTAGCAGTGTGGCTTTATGCAAACTATTTTTTTTTTCATTTATCGTTGCACAAATTTCTTTTGTTATAAAAAATAAATACAGTCAAGTATTTAAATACAACAATTTTTTATTGTCATAAATCATGTGCACTATTTTAAATACTAAAATAGTATTTAAAATAGTATTTACCACACTTTTTTTGGCACTACATATAATTTCTGTATCTCGCAAAATAATAATTATAACATTATCGATGATAAAATAATAATATTATCTTTATAACACTCCCAACACATTTTGGTCAGTTGACATGCAGTTTATGATGGAAATTGTTAAAAGAAAAGTTTTTTTGTGTGATTTTTTATAGTGTATTTCTTGCTGATTTTGCGATTATAATTTTTTTTAAAATATGCCAATTTAAAAATTAATTAAATATGTAAAATGGTGGGATTAATCCCAATTGAAGCTTAATTTATTCCAATAACTCCCACCATCTCATACAACCCTGTCTCACCTTGAAGTATCTGTAACCTGTCTCACCCTTCCTTTGATGTGGATCGACTCTGCTCGAACAAGATCACCGAGATTGTTTCCAGCGTGTTTTCAGACCATGGGTATATTTGATCGTTCATGGATATGACACCACCACCATCTGATACAACCAAAATAAATATACGTTATGAAATGAAATGAAGTAAATAGAAATTTTAAAAACTTGTAACTGTTGTAATTTTACATTCTTGCTTTCAGTTATAAATAATGGACCTGATGGTGCTCAATCTGTTTATCATCTGCATGTTCATGTTCTTGGTGGAAGACAAATGGAATGGCCTCCTGGATAGTGCAATAAGCACTATTTCTTTAATACAAAAACATTAATAATGTTACTATAAGTCAAAGAACCTTTTAGTGAATTATTTGTTAATTATATTTCTAGAATTATTTAATGTATGGTGTAATTTTCATATCCTATTCAAATATTTGTCCTATTTGATAAAATAAATATTTTTTTAAAAAAGAACTTAGTATTTATTTGTTAAGTTTTTTTTTCTTTCCAGTTTGTGAACTAAATTTGAAAATAATATTTATTAAATAAAACTTCTCTCATTAAGAAGAATAAGAACTTTGTAAAGATGATAATACCCATCTGTTACTGAAGAAATTTTGAAACAAAGATGGAGATGGCTCGTCCATATACTGAAAACAGATAGAAACAATCCTGCAAATTTTGCAAACTCATGGGTGCCTGAGGGAAAGAGAAAAAGAGGGAGGTCAAGACAGACTAACATGGCAAAGAATGCATTAAAGAAGATCTTAGTAGAGCAGGATTAACTGGATGGGATGAAGCGTGTTACCTGGTCAAAGACAGGAGTATGTGGAAGGAAAAAAACTTGAGGCCGTATGTCATATGCCAGTTCGGCACAAAGAGGATAAATATTAGTAGAAAAATTAGATTCAATAAAAAAAATTCGTAAATGAAAAATATTTTAGTTTCCATTAGATATTTTTAAAGTCAATTAGATAGGATTAATTTAGGTAGCAGCATAATACAGTGAAACCTTTCAGGACCTAGCTACTGTCCACTGTAGAATTGCCATTATTGGAGGTTGGACTTTCTTAGGGGTAACCTCCATTGCTTCAAAATGTTATCGAAGGTATATGATTCTTCTCAACCAATTTTAATTTACTGAGTGTTATTTTCTTGGTGCAGAAATGCCACTTGTGTTGGTGTCATGAAAACTGGACTCGTGAATAAAATGTAGCTTCATAGCGAGTGCTTTTTTTGATGATCTCTTTTTCAAATCGTCAAAAAGAGCTCTCTAAACAAGAGCCATTCACAAATATTTTGAATAAATTTAAATCTACTCATTTGTTTTGTCAATATTTTTTGTTTTAATATTTTTCTGTGTTACCTTAATTGACCTTTTCCACATTTGGTGCAGAGGTTTGCCCGCTCACTGGGGGAGATTCTGATGGTCTCTCCAAAAGGTTTTCTTCAACACTAAGTTTATAGAAAAAATTGATCACAATTAGAGGAGGTCACAAAACAGAGGTGTTTTTCCTGGAGATTTCACTGTATTTAATTAGATATTTATAATTCGTTCTTTGTTACTATATCTCTTAAACTGTTGGATTGATGCAGATTTTCTCATTTTAATTCTGATAAAACTGAATTTTCAGTTAATATAAATGAGTTTTTCAAAATTCTTAATTTGTTTCCAGATTGAACTGCATTTATGAACTACCTTTTTTTTGTTTACTTATTCATATTCAAATCTCATATAGATTCTGTTCACTTTGATTCTGCTCTTACTTTTTATCTATTTTATATACTTTTTGTCATATTTTAGCCGCATAGGAAAAAAATTGCATGTGAATGGGGAATTCATCGAAGATTTTTTCACCTGCAATGAGAACTGTCTCTAACAACGAAGCTAAACATTGACTCTACTTATATAATACTAGATATATAGTACAAGAATACTTTTAGATCATTGGGAAACAGTTTTCAGTTTAATACACAATATGTTGAATATTCTGAATTTAAATGTTTTTTTCTTCTTTGTTTAATATTTCAATCTACCAAATATTTTTAAAGCCTTTGTTAGACTCATAAATAAAATATTTTTTTGTCTAAAATATACTTAACTCTAAAAAATATTTAGCATGAAAAAATGTATTCTTTATTTTTCAAATAATTAACACTAAAAAAACTATAAAGATCACCAGTTGCTTTAGCGACAACTTTTTTTCGTTGTAGGCCTGTGTTATTTAAAAAATAAAATGAATTTTAAAATTATTCTTGAATAAAACAACTTTTACGAAGATATGCGAAAACTTATAGATTAAATAATAAATTTAACATAGTCATTGAACGAATTTCAGTGGGGAGCAATCATCAAGTCAAGTCAAAATTTTAAAACTGATAAACTAGTAAAAACTGATAAACTAATAAAAACTAATAAACTAAAGGAGCACAGGTTTAAACATCATTTATGTAGATATCTCTTTTATTTTATGTTACTGTTCTTTTTAATAAGTCCAAATAAATAATCGTAAAAAGTTTACAGTTCATAACTATTTGCATTCCTTTATCTGACAAAGGAAAAAGATATATATTATTGTTTAATATATTATAGTTTAGTATATTTTAATATATTGTATAGTTTAATATATTGTATTGAGTTGTTCAAAAAGTAATTTTTATTTTATTTTATGGAAATGAAAGGCGATTTCTTTATAGGGAATAAATATTTTAATAAATCTTAAATTGTTCATTCTGGTACATTACTTGCCAGCATAAAACTTTTATTCTTTGCTGGCAAAAATGCTCATCCAGGTGATTTTTTACCTCCTCATATGAAAAATGAGTTTTGTTGTCTAAAGATCGCAACATTGTCTGAGATAATGCTGAGTGATATTGCTCTTCAAAACTGGATAATTTTCTTGATGTTAGAGAACACTGGCATCTACGCGATTGCGCAAATATATTCCGGCAGGAAAATGAGGAATTTATGTCGAGCCTTAAGATTAAACCTTTTCAAATGATTATGAAAGGTTGAATTCCATAATTTTAATGTCTCTTCGCGTTGTTATTTGCCAGTTTACATCAATTAATGCGTCTGCATTATCTTCAACTTCCATGGTGCATGGTAATGAAAATTTTGCAAATCAGTTAATCAAGCATCACAAGCATACTGCAAATACATCTCCAAACACATCGGATAATTTTTTGTCTGAATGAAGCTGTCTGTGAAAAAAATATACTTAAGTCATATATTGGGATAAAGCAAAATTACTTTCCAAGCAACCCAATATTTTCGAATAGGAAAATAACTGGTTTGGTTATTAATATTGCTAAATAATGTAGTAGTTGTACTAACAAACAGCAGAACACCGAAGTCAAGCATCACTCGCTGCGGTCAGTGTGCGGGTGGGTGACTACTTGGATCAGTCTGCGTAGGGACCGAGGGTGTGCGGTATTGTATTTTATTTTA